TTGTTCCTGTCTTCAGAAAAATGATTCGGTCCTTCCTTCCTGCTCAGTGCGGTAGAAAACAAGTTTTTCACCTCTATGTGATAAAATATGTGCGAACAGTTTATAACACACAAAAATAGATATGACGTGAATAAAGTATAACATATAAAACTATGGAAAAAGTGAACACAGTATAAAATGTCCAATATGTGTGAACACACCCAGCCTGTCTATTCATCATTCTCCAGTTGGATTTTTTGATGCATCTGTAAATATCTGGATATGATTATAGTAGCTGTTTATTTATATATATCTGTACTGTGTTTGAATTTAAAATATATCCTTTATCCTTTTTCTTGTCTAAAATAGTTAAATCTACTATTGCATCTAGTAGGATCCATAGTGATACTGTTGGCAAAGGCACCACTGGACTAATTCTTAAGTTGGTTATTTGCAATTCTTCTGCCTTTCTATTAATTATCCATCTAAAACTCCTTGTCTCTTTTTTCTCTTTTGCCCAGCATGGTTTTAAAGTTTCCTGATGCATGCTCAATAACTGAACTTTGCGGTTGCACCAAGAAGAATTCCTCTGGTGGAGAAGATCACAGCCACAGAATCAGCCATCCGCAACAACAAAATTAAAGACTGTGATGCAGAACAACTCAGAATCAAAGTTTCATCCTGCCTCAGCAATGCCAAACCACCACCTTCCAACATCAGTAGAGAGGAGAGGGATGCACTCACCACTCTAAGCAAGGACAAAAACATCATCATTCTCCCAGCAGACAAAGGAAGGTGCACAGTGATTCTGAACCAGAAAGACTATCATGAGAAAGTTATGACACTCCTTAGTGACTTAAACACTTATGAACCTCTGAAAAGAGATCCAGGAAGTGGTTACAAGAAGAAGTTGATAGTTTGCCTGAAAATGTTGGAGCAGAAAAAGGCTATTGACTATATTCTATACTACAGACTGTACCCAGGGGAGGCCACACCTAGTCTGTATGGTTTACGTAAAATCCACAAACAAGGTGTACCTTTAAGACCAATTGTTAGCATGATTAACTCTGTCACTTACAATCCCATGGGCTCACCACCTGTGGGAGGGGCTAAAGGGGTCGGGTGCAATGTAGGATGGGTGGTGGCCGAGGGCGGGAACCCTGGCAGTCTGATCCTCGGCTACAGAAGCTGGCTATTGGGATGTGGAATGTCACCTCACTGGTGGGGAAGGAGCCTGAACTGGTGTGTGGGGTTGACAGGTTCTGACTAGAAATAGTCAGACTCACCTCTACGCATGGCTCTGGAACCAGTTTCCTTGAGAGGGGTTGGACACTCTTCCACTCTGGGGTTGCCCCTGGTGAGAGGCGCCGAGCAGGAGTGGGCATACTTATTGCCCCCATCTTGGTGCCTGTGTGTTGGGGTTCACCCCGGTTAATGAGAGGACGGCCTCCCTCCGCCTACGTGTGGGGGGACGGGTTCTGACTGTCGTTTGTGCTAATGCACCAAACGGCAGTTCAGATTATCCACCCTTTTTGGAGTCCTTGGAGGGGGTACTGGAAAGTGCACCCCCTGGGGACTCCCTTGTTCTGCTGGGGGACTTCAGTGCTCACATGGGCAATGACAGTAAGAGCTGGAGGGTGTGGTTGGGAGGAACGGCCCCCCTGATCTGAACTTGAGTGGTGTTCTGTTGTTGGACTTCTGTGCTCATCATGTATTGTCTATAACAAACACCATGTTCAAGCATAAGGGTGTCCATATGTGCTCCTGGCACCAGGATACCGTAGGCCCCAGTTCAATGATTGACTTTGTCGTCGTCTCATCTGATCTACGGCCACATGTCTTGGGCACTCGGGTGAAGAGCAGGGCGGAGCTGTCCACTGATCACTACCTGGTGGTGAGTTGGCGTCGATGGTGGGGGAGGATGCCAGTCAGGCCTGGCAGGCCCAAACGTATTGTGTGGGTTTGTTGGGAACATCTGGCAGAGTCCCCTGTGAGACGGAGCTTTAACTCCCACCTCTGGGAGAACTTTGAACATGTTCCGGGGGAGGTGGGGGACATTGAGTCCAAGTGGGCCATGTTCCATGCCTCTATTGTCGAGGCAGCTTACTGGAGCTGCGACCGCAAGGTTGTCGGTGCCTGTCGCAGCAGCAACCCTTCGAACCTGGTGGTGGACACCGGTGGTGAGGGATGATGTCAGGCTGAAGAAGGAGTCCTATCGGGCCTTTTGGCCTGTGGGACCCCGGAAGCAGCTGATGGGTACCGGCAGTCCAAGCGACATCTGGCTCGGGTGGTTGCTGAGGCAAAAACTCGGGCATGGGAGGAGTTTGGAGAGGCCATGGAGAATGACTTCCACACGGCTTCGAGGCGATTCTGGTCCACCGTCCGACCTCTCATGGGGAGAAAGCGGTACACCACCAACACTGTTTATATTGGGGGTGGTGTGCTGCTGATCTCAACTCGGGATGTTGTGGGTCGGTGGGCGGAATACTTTGAAGACATCCTCAATCCCACCGGCACATCTTCCACTGAGGAAGTGGAACCTGGGGACTCTGGGTCGGGCCCTCCAATCTCTGGTGCTGAGGTGCTGGTGGTTAAAAAGCTCCTCTGTGGCAGGGCCCCAGGGGTGGATGAGATTCGCCCGAGTTCCTTAAGGCTCTGGATGTTGTAGGGTTGTGTTGGCTTACGCGACTCTGCAATATTGCATGGACATCGGGGGAAGTTCCCTTGGATTGGCAGACAGGGTGGTGGTCCCCCTATTCAAAAAGGGGGGCCGCAGAGTGTGTTCCAACTGCAGGGAATCAGGCTCTTAAGCCTCCCTGGTAAGATCTATTCGAGGGTTCTGGAGAGGAGGGTCCATCGGATAGTCGAACCTCGGATTCAGGAGGACCAGTGTGGTTTTCGTCCTCGTCGTGGAACACTGGACCAGCTCTACACTCTCAGCAGGGTCCTGGAGGGTGCGTGGGAGTTTGCCCGACCGGTCTACATGTGCTTTGTGGACTTGGAGAAGGCGTTTGACCGCGTCCCTCGGGGAACCCTGTGGGGGGTACTCGGGGAGTATGGGTTACCGGACCCGGGTCGCTGTTTTAAGTGCTCTATAAATAAACTGCTATGGTATGGTAAGTTTACATACATGGGTCAGAAACGACACGCATGCATTTACTACAGCATTTGGTGGGAACTGTGAATTGTGCTTCAAACTCAAAACAGTCTGCTCCTCAGATAATGTTAATTATTTTATATCTGAATGTTTCTGTTCAGTCCCAGAGACGACTTCTGTTGTGACTTGGAGCTTTAGAAATAAACTGAATTGAATCTAGACCGATTCTTCTTGGAAGAAACGTTTCATCTTTCATCTGAAAGACGAAGGGTTTTGTCCTCAAGCTGGTTTGGTGAGTAGCAAGTTGGCCATCAGGCCTAATATTTATGTACTGATCGTTTTGGACAGACGGTTCCTTTTTGCATGTGTTAAAGCCATTTTCTGGAAATTTCACAGCAGACTGGTTTGACACAGCTCAATGAGGTGCTTTTTATTCGACAATAACTTTTATTTACAATGCACTTTACATTCACAGTGAATCTCAAAGTGCTACAAAGAGTGAACATCAGGATAAAAGCAACCGAGATCAAAAACAACCAGGAGGATAATGCCTCAGAATGAACACATCAAAAAACTTAAAATGCACAAAATGCAGATAAAATACTCATAACTATGGGTGAATTAAAAAAAAAAACTAAATTACAGTGCAATTTATTAAAAAACTGGGTAAAAAGGTTTTAAGACCCTTTTTAAAACATGTCACGGTCTGTGGATCCTCAGATATGAAGGCAGGGCGTTCCACAGGCGAGGGGCAGCGCAGGAGAAAGCCCGGTCTCCGGTTGTGCAGGATCGAGACCTGGGAGTGAGAAGAAGAGTGTTGGAAGAACGGAGAGCGCGTGAAGGACAATGAGGGGTGAGAAGTTCTTTTAAATAAGATGGTGCATTACCGTACAAGCATTGGAAGGTGAGCAGATAAATCTTGTAAGTGATCTGGGCAGAAACAGGAAGCCAGTGAAGTGAACGGACAGACTTTGGTGGCAGGCCTCAGGCTGATGAAGTGTTTTGGGTTTCTTCCAAGAAGAATCTGTCCAGAGGATGTGACTTGATCTTCAAACTTTTCCCCTAAAGATTACAAGCTGCTACAGAATATGGTCTAAAGATTCTTATGTTCCAACCAGTATTTCAGATTTATTTCACCGAATGGCATTTCCTTTGGGTCAGCAGGTTCTGTGGAAAACTGAACTTTAAGACACTTGTGATGCATGAAACTGAAAGTGTTTGTGACCGAGGTCTGTCCGTTTGAAACTAGTTCCACATTCACTTGTACAAATTGTAGCAAATATGATTGCAAGGGGACGTGGTCAGCTCATGGACTTCTAATTTAAATTATGTAAAGAAACTAGACCTTGGCTTTAAATGTTTAAGCAAAAATAAAGTTTTGGCAGCGACTTTAAATAAAACTGATCCCACAGACTTTGACCAGTTTCCAGTTCCGTATGCAAAGTTAACGCCTTTTGACCGTTGCCTTCAGCTTAAAATATGAAACCTGGTAGCTGCAGCTTCCCCCCCCCCCCCCCAAGAGAAACTGCAAAGTTTAAATTTAACAAGACTGTTCCAGGTGAGTGTCACATCAGGACTTTCTCATGCAGCTGGAACCGTTTTAAAACTTTAGTAGCGTTGATGGAAACCCAACTTATTTTCCTGCTCCGTTAACGTTCTACACTTGCTTCATCGTTGACCTTTACACAAGTTAAAGGTCACTTTAATGTCAAACTGAAAAGTTGGACCACACCCGTGCTGGGAACCCAAGTGGTTTCCAACCCACCAGAACAGTCCACAGCAAGGTGCCCATTGTGGCTCCAGACTTAAACAGGAAATATACTTGTCATTCTGTGGAGGCTGAACTTTGAAAAGTTCTTTTTTAAACTGGCATGCAGTTTTCTGGTAAGTGAAACCAGTTAAATATGGTAGAAAGGAGACACTGTAGAGGGATTCAATTTATTTGAGCTCAATTTGACAAAACGCAGCAAAGACGACATGAGCAAAGTATTGATGACAACTTTTCATGCAACAGCCTTGAACACAATGTGAAGCAGCTAAATTAGCACAAGTGATCGTTTCAGGCGACGCGGCTGCAGATCTGGACACGTTCAGCTGCGCTCGCCCAGAGTGTGCTTGTCAAACAGATATTCAGCCATGCCGTTCTGAGGGGCTCCCATACGGCGCAGGTTGGTCACGTAGTCTCCCAGCTGCTTGATGGCCTTCACCTGCTCCTCCAGATAGTGATTCTCGATGAAGTCGCACAGCTGCAAGACAGCAGAGCGTCAGAGCTCGTCTACTGGACGTCATTTTGTTCGACAGCCAACACCTGCACAGAGCATGAGTTACTTACATGCGGGTCATTGTGAGTGGAGCAGAGCTTGTGGCAGTCCAGCAGGGACTGGTTGACACTCTTCTCAAGCTGCAGGGCACATTCCAGAGCCTCGACACCACTGCCCCACTCATCCCGGTCTGGCTTCTGCAATACATGAGCAGACGACCTCAGAGTTAATCACCAGCTCAACGTTCACTGAAGCTCAGGGCGTGGCTCCAGGAGATAAGCAGCACATCACTCCACCCTTTGCATCTTTGGTCCTCCCAGCATGCATCACTCATGAGACCAGTGAAGGAAAATCTTTAACCAGTTTGATACCTTGACATCTTGCAGGAAGATCCTTCCTCCCCTCTTGTTCTGCAGTTTCATCAGCTTCTCAGCGTGATCACGCTCCTCATGCGACTGCTCACGGAAGTACTTGGAGAAGTTGGACAACGCCACATCGTCCCGATCAAAGTAGTACGCCTGCAAAGACACTCCAGATGTTCCAGGGACAGATGTGGCACAACACTTTATCCTAGTAATCAGCTCGCTGCACATCTTAGTCAGAACACAATTCAGTTCCCATTTTAACATGCATTTATGAAGGTTCCATTCCCAGCTTTCCCAGTGTAGCCACTGAGCACGTGACCACTCACCATGGACAGGTAGACGTAGGAGGCGTACAGCTCCAGGTTGATCTGCCGGTTGATGGCGGCCTCGCAGTCCTGATGGAAGTTCTGCCTCACCTGAGAACTCATGCTTCTGAAACATCCAAGACACCGACAACACGCAGTCTGCGCATGAATACAAGGAGCGCGTGCTACTGGGCAAACTGGCCTAAAGACAGAAATTCCAGTTTGACCAGAAACAAAAACAATTGCGCAACTGATTATTGCGCAATTAGGGGGAGGGAAACAATTAGAGCAACATGGCGTAGATTATAACCAAATGTACAAGGTGTAAAATAACGTGAACATTTTAGAACCATTTCCACTTACGTGATTTAATGGAGTCGGTCTTGATGTTAGCAAAGAAGTTAGCGCGCGAGCTAAGCGACTAGTAGACTAAACTAGTTGATGACTCAAAAAAATCCCTCGATGGAAATTAGATAGAATCAAATGTTGAGACAGAGAAGGTTTCCGTTCAAGCACTGTTGAAGCAGGTAACCTTCACCGTCCGCTAAACAAATGAACTGCGAACGTTAACGCCGCAACCCCAGCTTATATAGGCCAGTCGGATGTGCGTCACTTCCGGAAGAAGGCGGGGTTTTCCTGTAACCTACTTGGCGAATGGCGAAGTTCATTCTTCCCATCTTAAATAAATTATAAAATGATCTGCCGCTGCCAATAAAATACTTGTTTAAAGTGCGTGACTTGACACAGGCCAACAAAACATCACTACATTTATATTCTGTCCTTTTGGCACAACTTGTGATACAAAGAACTAATTATTCATTAATTCATTCAACCTTTATTTCTAATTATGCTTCAAGGTCTCATTTACAAGAGAGACCTGTTTTAAACAAAGAACACAGATGAGGTACACACAACAACAAACCATCATATTAAAGCATATAAAATCAAAAGTTAATAAAATAAAAATGAAACAATATTAATATCTAAAAAAGTTCAATCTGGTCCTCTATAAAAAAAAAAAAAAAAACAAAGCAAAAAAATGTAGAAACGTTTCGTCTCTCATCCTGAGGACTTCCTCAGTCTGAGGTGCTGTATTCAGCTCAGTCTCTTAAAAAGCACCTCAAGGGCGTCAGAAGCATCTGTAATGTGGGGGGGACACAATAATGTGTGTAGGTGTGTGTGCACGTGCACGTGTGTGCGCACGTTAAAAAAAGGTGTATACTAGTGAACAAAAAGCAACATCTCTCCTAGATTTCCTTTAATTCCACACATTTAAAACATGTTTCTCACCAAGTTTGTGTAAATTCTTCTGTGGGTTTTAAAGACATTTTAACTTTAATACACTTTAACACAGAGCGTCAGGTCGACACTATTTGTCTTTATAGAGAAATAAAAACCATCACTGGACTTTTTTACTTGTGTTCAACACGACTCATCTAAATGATGTTTGTCATGAAGCTCGAGGACAATAAGGTGTGGGGGTTTAAACACATTTCAACTTTAATGCACCTGAACACACAGCGTCTCTTCCACCTGCAGCGTCTCTTCCACCTGCAGAGTCTCTTACACCTGCAGCGTCTCTTACACCTGCAGCGTCTCTTCCACCTGCAGCGTCTCTT